CCCGTGTGTTGCAGAAACTTGCTTGCATATGTAGCAGTTTAATTTGTCCGACGTAGCGAAAATTCGATATCGAATGTTGTCCAAGGTAATTGAAAAGTTTGTCTTAAACGTGTCTTCTACTTTGGAGTTCGAGGTTATTGTAAATTATTTGTGTTTAGAGTTTAGAAGAGTTACTGTTTCTTTTTTATCTAGGTATATGTATATTCTACTGTTCGATATTCGCAAGATGTGCCTTATTGCTTTAGGGCCGCTTAGTTTCCGAATTTCGTAGGCATATTCTTTGATTGTTAGTAGCGAAAGGATATCGTGTGTGGGCAACTTTCACCGCTGCTCATTGTCTTCCGGCGGGAGAAAGCTCTTCGTTGGAGTTCTAGGAAGGCCTTGCCGAGACCCAAGGACAAGAGCCACAGATGGGGATGCTAGACGCCAAGCTGGGACGTCTGGACTGGAGCTCAGCGGAAGAGGCTACGGACACGCGAAGACAAGGCGACGGAGAGGGGACACGCCCTATAAAATAAGGAGGGATGTTTTTTGGGGACACTAGCCGACTAGCATACGGAGAATAAAGAAGTTACGGAGAAGCAGTAGTTTCACTGAAATCCTTTCCTACACGTGGGATATTGAAAACTTGGTTTATTTGTCGGTAGCAACTGGTTTATTCCGTCGGTTTCTACGATAAATCGACGCGTCGCGACGCGACTAAAATATAAACTGACCTTTTCACAAGGTGTCTTGGGACGGACTGTCTGCGCAGTCATTGCTTTTTCCCAACACCTCCTTGGAAAACTTTTTGTTTTTCCGAGAGGTGCAATTGGCATGCATCGTGAAAGTTTATGAGTGCTCGAAAAAGGTCCAAAACGGTTTAAACACTTAGCAAGTCGATGAAAGCCAGATTTTTTTCACATGTCGAGTGTATCGCCACAGTCGCCACAGTCGTCACAGTTTATAGCATTTGCGTTGGAATTGTTTCCATTTCTCTCTATTTTACAAATTACAACGGCCCAACGGCTGTATAGGAAGCAACACCGTACACACTTGCTTGTACAGTATTTGCAGCAACGCTCTTTCACTTTAGTGACACTCGCGAGCGAGTACTATTATAACACGTTTGTACGGTATGACGATTAAAACACAACTGACACCTGTGAGTTATTTGTTATTGTTATACGTTTTTCTTTTTTTATTTTGCCCTTCTATTCTTCTATTTTGTCTCTTGCGTCTTGCTGTTTTACAATTTATAAGAATTTTCTTTTTGTCATATCTAGTAAGAAAATAATTTCTTTTGATTATTGTTATTGTCGAACATCACATTTTTTCCAATTTGAGTTTGGAACTTTGTTAATTTTTCGTCAACGATATGGAGCACCATTGTCCATTACGATTATTGCATTTGGCTAAATTTTATTTCTTGATTTCCTTAATTTTGCACAATTTTGTAATTGTGTTTTGACCATTTTGCAAAATTTCAAGTATTCGTTTCTTCGTGATAATTATTGTTCTATTTTTAAGCTCACAGAACAGCAGAAGCAAAAGTTTTTTGCGAATATCTTGGAAGCCAAGGACGACTATCTATCGTATCTTAAAACATATTGATTTTTAAATGTACGTATTTAAAAATGAACAAAATCCACAATCAGAAACCTTCTCGTTAATTCCATGGAATAAAATTTTATTTGAAAAATTTGTTCGAAATGTTATCCGTGCAACATTTTATTCGGAGAGTTTTCATCGAAATGTTGGAAAAATTATCCGAATAATGCGCAATCCTTGTAGACAACAATGTATAGCACCGAAAGCATTTTTATCAACGATTCGTGAATAAATAAATACCTGAAATTTGGAAATTTATATCTAGCTTCATTTTGCATTACTATCACGTTTCAAATTTCATGTCGAAATTTGAATATTGGTGCATTTTCAGGAAGATATTAGTATACTTGCAGCATATACTTTAGTTTATAGCATATTATAAACACGATAGAATTTGTATTGCTTGAATTAGTATAGAAATGCAAATTAAGGGTTTTTAGTCTAAAATATTAAAAGTGTAAAAGTGAATTGTTTGGGCGAACATTTGACTTTGTTGTGTAAATGAAAGATGTCTTCAAGGAATTGGGAAAATTTCTAAGAACGGGGAAATGTGTGTGGGGAAAGTTAATCGAGAAAGAGTAGCGAATAAATGAGTTAAGAATAAACAAAGTCGAGTAAGAATTGAAAGATATAATTCATTTATAGTTCATACTTTAGCAAAGTAAAAATTTTTGTCGTTTTACTACTTTGTCAATTAATTGTCTTTCGGCATTGCTTCTTTATTTATGTATGTATGCGTGCAAGTGTGTATTGTTGTATTCCGAGTAAGTTTTTGTTTTAGTTATAAACTTACATGCGAACTTTGAGTGTATCAGCGCGGCCGAGTACGTACCAGATCATTTAACACTGTGACTCCAGACTTACTACTAGAGAAAGAATAATTCGAAATTTGGAATAATGGACAATATTTATATCCGAATTATGAAATAAGTGGGGGTTGTCTATAGATCGAAGGGAGAGGATGATGCAAGGAAGGTCAGGGTCCGAGTAAGCAATAGGGCGATAGGGGAAGGATGGGTAAGGGATAAAAAGGGACGGTTAGCCGGTCTACAGTTTATCTAATGTACATTGGTAAGCACCTATAGATGACTAAGCAGTCATCTAACAATATTCGTTTATTTATTTGACGAAGATGGAGGATAACGAGCGAAGGAGAGAGAAAAGGAGAGCTTTTTTCGCCATAAGAAAAGATATTTATGTAATACTTATGCCAAGAACCTCGTCAAGTTCTACAAACTGGTTATTTTAAAAAATGAAAAGGTATTACAACGTCAATACGTGTCAACGCAAGATAATTTTATTTCAATATTTAATACTCGTTACAGTTACTACAATCTAGTCCAGAATTCGATTGTTCGAGATTATTGATCATAAATATTCGAAAAATGCAACAACATTCCAACTGACTGTCGTTAGAATGTCACACGAATAAAAAGTTGTCACAATCTTACGGAAATTTGGAGTTTTTAGAGAATCCTAGTTTTCGGCCCGTCTTAGAAAATCTTCACGATTTAACTTGATAAGAAGCATTTTGGCTAATCGCGGACTAGTTTTTGCTATACATGGTTCGTTCCCCGATAATTCCATACGACGTCGATCTCCAATAACACTGTTAGAACTCAGATTTCAATATACAATACGGGTTCTATCAACATGGCTACGTTGGAAAAATACAAGTCGGCGGAGAGGAAAAGAACTAAACTGAAAACTGACCTTTCGCAAATTTTGTGGGTGCTTATATAATGTTAGTTTTCGGTGGGGTGAAGATGACCATTGGCGCTTAGTGAAAGTAGGAATAAGTCAATTGTTTTTGGACTCTGAAATTGGTCTGCGTTTATTAGTCAGGCCCTTCTAACGACTAAGGGTCAACGACGGAAATCAGGTATGGGAATTTTCGGATGTCGTCATTAGGCCACAACGGCATTAGACAATTATTAAAAATAAATTTACAATTAAGCAATAATAAAACTTTAATCATAAATATTTCAAAAGCTATCGAGTAGTTGCCCTTGTAATGATACATTGTCTTGAACTGCATGACGAAATCTACAAACCTGCAAACTTTTAACTAAATTCACGAGCCGAAGGACTTGCATTCTCCTTGTAAGGTCACACGCTCATTCTCTTTGCTATCACTCTTGACGCTATTTTCATTGTTAGGGTTCTTCAGTTCGCGTTATCACATTACGAAGATGTGTTAATAACGATAAAGCTACGAATTATTTAGTGACACAAGTTTGTAATAACTCTTGATTTACTTCAATAACTCTACTCTATTTCTCGCAATGCTCAACAATAGTCAACACAATACTGCAACACCCAACTCTGTTCTCGGCTCACCTCCAACTTCGTTCGACTCTGACTCTTAATCTCAATCTGTCCTTCGATCGACATCGGCGTACATTTTACATCTTTCTCACCACGCACACGCTTTCCGATATTTCCCTTAAACATGACCAAATGTGGTCGTGTTAAGAGCTTCACGCATCGCCCAGGATTTTCTCTAACGGAGCTAGACTGTGCACCTTAGATTCTCGTTCTCTGCATAACCTTCGCAAAGCTACGTATAGCTTCTTCCACATGGTGGAAAAAGTACGGTACTGCGACAATTATAATTATGGATATCGATAAGCTCGGGAAAGTCTCGTCCAAAATTTTAAGATAAGAATGAACCTCCTAACTTTCTTGTTTTCGTGTAATCTTTCATTCTATCAAAAAATTGTTTATTTTTAGAAAAAGTTCGTGTTATTCGAAAACTGAGAGCGATAGAGCAATTTCATTTACAGATTCGTATTTAGGAAGGTGAGCTCTACAAGAGTTGTCCAATGGATATTACCAAAAAATTGAGAAACAGTTAAAATTTGTTGGACAGTGTAATTAATTACAGTAGAAACTCGATTTTAGAATTCCGATCATTGCACAGGAATCTCATTCGTTGCATTCTCGTCTTATGTGGTGGGAACGATGAAATTTATTGCGAAGAAACAAATAATTTACAATACGAGAAACTCTATCACTAATCGTATAATTATTTCAGATTAGTTGTTTCAATCGCAATATAAATTTCGATATTTACATGAATTTTCATGCATTTCCATGTTCGTATAACATTCTGGGTCTTATTATAGGCCGATTACGATAAATGGCAAAAATCAACATGTGATGCTCAGCCCTTAAGTTCTACGGATATTTACGTTATGTTCTTTGCCAATGAGCAGGAGAGGTTAAACCCTTAAGCGATTGTTTCAACGTTTGAAACTTTCTATCAAGTTTTAACGTTTCTTCTGTCGTAAAGTAATTAAAAAGACAAATCTCACGAAATAACTACAAATTGCAAATTTTCACGAATAATAAACTTTACGTTATGTCTTTATTCTATACGAAAGTTATTTATAGGAAAGATATCTTACCACAGGCACGAGCAAGCATGACGTAGCCATTCGACATTCTATATTCGGAGAGCCTCGTTGCAAATAAAGCCACGTTGATCGAGATGAAGATCAAGATGAAAATAATGTAAACGTAATTGTTCTTCATGTATGGCTTCGTTAATTGGTAGGGACGTAACGAAGCGAGGAATTGTAAGCGTGATTTTCGCTTTGATTTTGGCTTCGGTGGTACTAACCATCGATCGATGCTAAGATTTAATTTCTCTTATTAATAATTTCCTGTTTAATTTAAAATTTCTAATAATGTTGTTTATAAAATATCATATATATTAATTTGTTCTATAAAACGTGCTTCTTAGGAATTTCTTGCGAAAAAGATTAATTGAAGATATAGCATAACGGTTTTTTAGATAAAACTGTTCTATTTGTTCTATGTTCTCATGTTCTATTTGCTTCCTTTTCAAGAAAATTAACTTTGTAAATTCTTAATACGTCACTACGCTTTTCTTAACTTAATCCATATTATACGGTATGGATTAAATTGTAATGAAATTGATACGTATGTAAATTAACGAAGAAATTGTTGAAACTGTACACGAAGTGATACCAATGCGTTTTGTTTTCGTACTTGCTTAAATGCTTCTTTACACGTTTCTTGCAATTGTTTATAATTTGTATGCTTATCCAGTGACCTCGTAGATTAAATCCCATCTATCCCACTATGTCCATAGCATTCGTATTTTTAATTTAAAAAGTATTTAATTTCTCGATATTCAACAAAACGGGGTGGTATCTCCATCTCGTTGGAAAATTAATTTTTATTTTGGTTTTTCAGCAATTGCAGCAAATTTCCTATCAATATCTTTACGATCACAAATGCAGGAACGATCGATTCTAATATCTTTATAATGCTATCAGTTAGGTCGAAAGCATGCTGAATGCACACATACATAAAGAAGTTTTTACACATAATTTTCTCGAGAAGAAAGCGGTAAACGAAAAATTGCTATCTCATATTCTTGGTTTATTTTCTCGTAAGGAATTCACCAATGCTCGATTGTACTATCCGTATCGAAACATTCTGTATAATGAAAGCATAATGTTAACATTAATATATTAAATACTAAATATGATAATAGCGAATTCTTTAGTATATACTATACATGTTACACTGGAAACCCAAAATCAACCAATATTAGTTTTGACTAGTTAATAGAATTAATAGAATTAATGCTATTAGTTACAATTAATTCTTACTGGATAAAGTGCTAGCAAAAAGAATTACACCTTTACGAAAAAATGAGAAGCCTCCATCATTCGAAATTCCAAAGTTTTGACTAGTTAATAGAATTAATAGAATTAATGCTATTAGTTACAATTAATTCTTACTGGACAAAGTGCTACAATTGTAGCAAAAAGAATTACACCTTTACGAAAAAATGAGAAGCCTCCATCATTCGAAATTCCGTGAGGATATGTCGTTGTAACGAGTAAAATTTCGAATGCATTTGCCCAGTCTTTGTATTTATATTGTGGTTATTATTAGTATTCTTTCTTTCAAAGTATCTACTCAGTTACCCGATGGTGGATTTTAAGGGTGATTTCGTTAATACTATCCTAGCAGTGTGAGAATATTAATAACTGAATGATTTTTAGCGAATTCCGATACTGATTGATAGCATTTAATTAGTTCTAGAATTAACTAGTTAAAACTAATATATTAAAGACCTTAGTCGAAACTAATTTTAACTAATTTCGGGCTTTCACCGTAACAGAGATATTATATCTATTTGCCAATTAACAAGCTGAAATGATTTAGAAGGAAAGGTCTGTGTTCACCTAATCGAAAGGTTCTCCAATAATCCTCCGTGTTTTTCCAATTGTTTCTTTAAACCCTCAAAGGTTATAGCACCTCGGTTAGCTTGATCAGCGTCATCGAACAAGGCTATAGTTAATTCCTCGATTTGTTCCTCGCTAAATTGTATTCCGTTTTCTTCCATACAGGCTCTCATCACGTGTTCCAATTCACGAAGTTGTATCAATCCGTCACCTTTCCAAAAATAATACATTCAACGACTTGTTTGTTTCAAATATAAAAATTTAACAAGATATTGAAAGCAAATATGATTTAAAAGAATGTCGCAAGATGTTAAGAATATAGGTGATCTTTTTAAAGACTTTCGTACAAACCTTCTTAACATATTTGATAGGCTAAAACAAAGCGAAATGTACCTACTATATTAAAAACAAAGAAGATCTATATTCATAAAAGCAAGGGTAATTTTGAAATTTTCAAGCATCTTACATTCACGGACATATTCCCTATTGCTAATATATTATAGCCATATGACTTGATACCGTGTAACTCTTGCGAATCAACTTCTCTTCATTATTCTCTCATTATTTCATTATCCTCTGGGATAACTTAGATAATTATTTTCCGTATGTCTCGTGCTTCGGTTATAACTTCTTCGTGAAGCACTCAAGGAACTTTGTGTAATTATTTTATTATTATTTTCAGCTTTAAAATAACAACAAAATTTATAGGAAAATTTACAACAAAACTAAGTGGAACATCTTGTATAATATGAACTATGTAATCGAGATGGATCACACCTTACTTACATTTGCTTTAAGACTTCGTAGAAGAGAAAATTGAACGAAACTAAAAGTATCTCCTTACAATTTCCTATTTTTCCTAAATGAAACGATATATTCAAATGCGTAAGTGTATTCCTTATCTTTTGCAATAGTAGTTCAAAAGTATCAAATTTGTTCATGTGGCGCGTATTTGCAAATTGTTCGTATCGATGGATAATAAAATGTTTGTTAGGGATTAGATACCAGAATTTAAAAATGTATATAATAATTTTTAGTATATAATTAAAGTATTTAATTCAATTTACAGTATATTTTGAATATTAAGATTCGATTATTTCTAAACTTTTGAATGGATTTAATAACCATCAGTGGTAAATAATATTTTTGGTACTGTTTAAATTAACCTTAAAGCGTATCACGATGAAATTCTCACCACACGCAAACTCGAGACATCAATTACTAGTAATATTGATTACATACTCAATGCTTGATTGTCGATAATGCGATTAAATGACCAAAGTAGATAATTACCTGAACATCGATTTTTTTTAATCGAGAAGATAGTTAATGATACATGAAACTGTGCGAAAAATAAACCTGATTTTACTAACAGAGAAACGCATTTCTTTGAACGTTAATATAAATAATATAAGCAATATGATTATAGTATAATATGAATAATAATAATTATTTATATTATTAATGATTGATACGAATAGTATGAATATGAATTAATAGAAGACCAGAGGAATAATATATTTTAGAAAAATTTGAAAAGTTTCTTATCGCACTGTCGACATTTTCGACGTTACATATACTAAAAATTGAAAAATCTCGTAATATATAATTAATAGTAACAACAATCACAACAAAGACAATAACAACACCAACAATAATAATAATAATAGGAACAAATATGTGTTTATAAATATGCGTGTACAAAATATGTGACACATGTTAGAAAAATAATTAGATTTCGAATATATACTGTTAATATGTTAATTTATTTTATATATAAATAATTTATATTAATGTACAAGAATAATTTTCAAACTTAATGATACACAGAAAGGAATATAATAATAAAGCTGTAATTAGTGCTAGAAATGAATGACAATTTAATAATAGCATCAATTAGGGTTTCGTTTCCGGAATGAAAGAAGTAAGACGTAGATGTCCGCAGGAGAGAAAGTTGTTGGATTTTGTCAGCAAAAGAAGGGTGGATAAGGTATGGCGGATGTATGAAGGTAGCAGAAGAAGTGACAAAGGGAGTCAGTGCATAAGAAACACGAAAAAAGTAGGTGAAAGAGAATAATAGAGAGTCGAGTAAGTCTCGAGAAAAGTGAGGTTAGAAAGATCAGCGGTAAGAAAGGAGGTAAAAGAAGAAAGAAAGAAAGTAAAAATGAACAAGACGCGTGTGATGGAAAGGAGAAATTGGAACATTGCGAGCTAAAAGAAGGGACGAGAAAAAAAGAGAGTATTACAGAAAAGGAGAAAAAGATTTAGATAATTGGTGCAAAAGAGTAGGGGGAAAAGGAGAGAAAGAGGAGGATCAAACGGGAAGGGAAGTAAATAGAAAAAGAATATGAGAAACAAAGAATAGAATATAAGGAACTGTTGGAATACAATTGCTTATATCGACAGGCGGATGTGTGCCCGTCAGAAATCACGGTCCGAGGGCCGTGATCATTACCGGGTCTTCGTTTCCACCACTTTTCTAACACAAACGCGACCGTGAGTTACTTCGTTTTTCTTGTTTCTCTCCAGGTCGTTGCCAGCCCTCACTGCCTGATATCGTCGTGCAGTGTAACAATTTTGATCTCAAATAAATATACGCCTTTTTCTTGTAGAACAATTATATTTCCTACGGGAACTATTCAAGAGGAAAAGAAAAAAAGAATGGGAGAGACTGAACAAGGCGGTGAAAGAGGCGAAAGAAGGAGGGGATGTATGGGAGATAATAAATATGGGAAGGAAGAAATGGGAAAGAGAGGGGGAAGGGATTTCAATGAAACAGTGGAAAGAAGAGTAAGAGAAGAATTTGGAAGTTGGCAAGAGGAGGAAGTGATAGAACAGGGCAGGACATTAAGAAAGAGGAGGTTAGAAAGGAAGTACAAAAGATGAAGAAGGAGAAGGCGATAGGCTTGAACGAGAATTCCAGGAGAATCTTGGAAATATGCCAATCAAGAAAAAAGGGGAAGGGAATAGGGTGGAGGATTTTACAGGAGTGATGCTTGTGCACTCTTTGTACTGGATATATACAAGTATACTGGCAGAGTGAATATGACAAAAGGTGTTGAACGAAAAGCAGATAGATTTCGGAAAAGGTATGGGGATTATGGATGACATCTACGTGTTAAATCATCTGATCAATAGGTAAGACGGGAAAGATTGTGGCATCTTTTATTAAGCTAAGAGCGGCATTTGACTCAGTGGATAGGAGAACACCGTGACAGACGATGGAGAAAAGAAGAATAGGCAGGTGGTTAATTGAGAGAATAAGAAGAGCGTATAGGAAGACTACAGGAAGAGTACATACATAGGAAGAGTACGGTAACAATGGGCAGGCAAGAGGACTTACAATTAGACAAGGATGTCCAGTGAGCACTCGTCTTTTTAACATCTTGTTATTGGACTTGCAAGCGCAGAAGGAATGATACGGAGAAGTAAGCATAGGGGGAGAGAGATACTATTGCTTAACATATGTGAACGACATAGTCCTATTGGCGGATATGCTAATGAGTTTAGAGAAATAGTTGGAGACGACACTTTTAGTACTGAAGACGGAAAAACCGAAAGTAATAAGATTTGGAGTGAGAAACGGAAGAAGAAAACAGGGAAATTAAAGTTCGGAAGGAAAAAAAAGAAAATAGAGGAAACAAAGGAATATAAATATTTTGGGTATGCGATGAGGAAGAATGGAGGGCAAGAGACTCGTGTAAAGGACAGAGTAAAGAAAGCAGCGGGTTTAATGCGACAGGTCTAGGGATTTAGAAGGAAATGGTTCGGGAAGGAATGGGCGAAAAAAGTGTGACCGATTGACAAATTAGTATGGCTAGTAACGGGCCATTAGGGGAGGGCGAGGGGGGGGGGCAGAATTGTGGAGACGGAAAGAGGAGAGTGAGGGAGAAAATCTGCAAGAAAGATATCTGAAGTGGATTATGGGACTAGACTGGAGAACACCGGAGTAGTATGAAGTTAGGGAAGAATGGAATTATGTGTTGCGAATTAGAGCGGTATAGAGGAGTTGAAATTTTGAAAGAAAGCTGAAGTAAGGAAAAGGATCAGAAATAGCAAGGCTTGTTAAAGGGAGAGAGAGAAAGCGGAAAGTAGAGCAGAGGGTAGGGAGATGGAAGAAGAGAGATTAAGGAAAGGGGTTCCAGTACGAGGAGGAAGCGGAAGAGCAAGTGAAGGATTGCGAAGAGTTAAGTTAACGGTCAAAAAGAAACAAGAAAGAGGAAGGGAGCAGAGAATCAGAAACTCCAGATACAAGAGGTGGTATAAATACATAAGAATAGGGAGACTACCGATGTATATCGAAACAAGATGGATAGAAAGGAGAAAAAAGGCAGTTGGCAAGGCACAGGTTGGGAAATGAGATGAGAGAAGAACGCAGAGAGAGAAAATACAGACTATGCGAGGAAGAAGAAGAAGAAGAAACATGGGAACACGTCTGGAAAGTATGTGGAAAGAACGGAAATGAGGAGAGTGGATGGCAGAAAAATGTTAAGAGATCGCTGGTGGCGGAGAGCGAGGGAGAGATAAAGATTTGAGAATTTGGAAAGAAAGAGGAGGAGAAGAAGGGAGGAAGAAAGGGGAGAACAAGGGTGAGAGAAATGGAAAGAAGATCAGAAAACGGGAGGGAAAGTGCAAAAGATAGAATTATAGCCAAAGAGGGTAAACAGTGTTAGAATTAAGAAATAGATTTAGGGTTAAATTTATAAGATTTTGGTACTTTTGCTTTTATTTTTATTTTAGATTTTAGTTTTATATTTGATTTACGTGCTTTTGGTTAGTAAAGAAACAGAATTCTATTGCAATCCTCTGAAGAAAGTAATGAAGATTATTATCATTATTAATAGCATCAAATAGAGGAAGTAAATGAGATGGATACAGATTTTTGTTATCGAATAATAATGATAAAACAAATAAGATATATTCGAATCGTAACAAATATATATATTTTCATATTGCATGCAACATGTTATTGTCGTAATTATAAATAAACTTAAAAGTATCGTATTATTACCTTCCGTTCTTAATTTCACTTCCAAGTGAGAAATATTTACGTTTATTTAATACTTACGACTTGCAACATTATTTTAGACATATAAAATTATAAAATTGCGTTGTCTTATTACAATGAAGCAATTTAAATTTGTTAATTAGAAAAAAAAAATCATGAAAAGCACAAGTAATAATGTATAGTAATAATGAGTAGAACAGAAGAGTTAAGTATTTTTAAGACATTCAACGCGCGTAATAAAGTAAATTCGTTTCTATGGTTAAATTAGTGGATTTAATTAATTCAAACTAACAAAATTATCGATAGAAGTAAGTATTTAAAGCTTAACGTAATTATTTTGTAAAAATTGCACAAATATTTGAAAATATTTAATGTTATTTTACCATCTATGTCGTAAACTTTAAAGAGGAATTTTATCTTGTCGTCAGGACTTTTCCCTGCAAATTGATGCATCGCATCCAGAAATTCCTGGAGAGATATCGTTCCAGAATTATCCTTATCAAAGATCTGGAATACCCTGTCGGTAAAAAATGGCTGAAAAATATCAAATCTTTAAAGTTAAATTTCAAGGATACTTAGCAAATTAGTTGTTCTCTTTTTAGCGTGTTTAATAAGTATGCGTATAACGATTAATCGATAAATCCTATTACGTAATATTTTATATCGTTAAATCTATGATATAAATGTATATAAGAAAAAGGAAAATATATTTGAAAAGAGAAAATAAGGTAATTAAAGTGCAAATACGAAATGAAAACTATGATTGCTACCTACGTTCTTCGAAGTGACGATTTTGTTAAATTCTTCGCGCCTTATTTCCTTTTCGTTTCCCACTGTTTGTTTAAAAAGTTTCTCCAGCCATTCCAGGCTACTCTTGTCGAAGCCAGCGAGTGGTCTTTAAACAATTTTATAACACGTTAACAAACTATTAACATGTATTTGAAATATATTGAAATGTTTGTAGATGACGAGTAAAATCTCTGCTAGATAATCACACCTTGTATCGCTGACGTTTGAAAGAAATTCCATAATTTGAAAGGACGTGACATATCCCAAATTTTCTTCATCGATTCGACGAAATAATTTATCTACGATCTGTAACATAGGCATCATAGAGAACAAATTGTCGCGTACATACGATAATTCTAATATAAATAAATTAATATATATACACATATACAGTGAAAGCCTGTTTATCCGGTTGAAATCGGAGACCTTGGTCCGATTTGAATCACTGAAAATCCGATCATCATACGAAAATCTTCAAGAACTCACATAACACTTTATACACGTATATTTTATTTACATAATACACAATTTATATACTTTTACATATAGCAATACATATTAAGAGACATGCATATACGGTAAAAAACATATCTAGGCAAAGAGTAATTTCGATTTTGATTAGGATAAATGGTACAGTGGGTGATTCAATAGCATTATTGAATGATTTTCAGATTCTTTCCGATAGCCCGCAAAGTATTAAATCGTTCATTTGTCGTGTTTATAATCCTAAACACGAACAGAAAGAAAAAGTTTGAAACTTATATTTAGTACACGCATACTCGATAAATTTTCAAATTCGTCTGAAAAACGAAGCTCCATATGAAAAAGTTTTACACTTTTTCTTCGACTTATTATTTCACGATGTATTATATTATTATTATATTATTTCACGTTCGGTCCTACTACTAATAACAAAACAGCCTGTACAATAATATTTAAAACATCCTTAAATTTATATAACTTGTTGCTTTTATTAGGATTTTATTTCGAAAAAAGATTTGTCTTACTTTATAGTCAGGATCTGTTAATTTATCAAATATTTTGTTGGAATTTGTCGTCTGTATTTACATGTTTACACGCTTATAGTTTTTGTTCTTCTTTATACCTGGTAAATATACGTATGGTTAAAATTGGCATTATTTTATTCGATTATTGCTTCAATATGATTATCGTTTAATTGATTTAACATGCAACTGTTACCTACGATTGTATGATTTAAACTCCTATATTTTCTATATAAATTGGAGAAGGTTTCAGTACTGTGATTAATCAATATTTCGTTCATCGCGTATGTACTACAATATAAGCTCTCTGTGTTAGATCGTAAAGTACCGTTCATTTTATTATAAAATTTACTTGCTATAAAGGAATTTAGGAAGAAAAATATGACATTGTTGATCTTGTACCACTAATTCTCGTAAATTAAGACTGAACTAGTGACAAGACAGTCTATATGACTGATCGTTTATTTTATGTTAACGGCGTAGTAATTTTTCGATTTCCATAGTTTTAATTTAAGGGGGTAGGTCAGTTTGACGGGCTGAAAAATTAGCGATACTTTAAAGAAACATTGGAGAAAATGTAATCGCTTAATTAATATAAGCTTTTGTGACTTGTTTCAACATATTATAAGCTATGTAAAACAACATTAAATTTTAAAAAGTCCCAGACTTGGTTGTTAGTCACGTTATGATTCTGAAATAATTTTTTTCAATATGGCCTTTCGGTGTGCAGAATTCCAGCCAAATGGGGTTAGTGATATAAAAAAATGAAAAAGGACTTGAAACTATAACATATTTCTATAACATTTTCTAAACATTGACCTTCGAACATTTCAATTTGTTTTGAAAATTAACAAAATGGTAGCTATTTATATTTGATCTACCGAATCTTTACGAAAAATTTCGTTGCTTTTTGTTAACAACTTTTAAAATTGTTAACAATTTAAAAGAAATCGAATGTCAATGCCAAATAAATGTTAAAATAAGGACATATGTAAAGTTTCATAATAATTGGTTCCTTAAATTTCGTGATATCTTGCACAATGTTTTTAGAAACACAGTTTAGAGAAAAACGCATTTCAAGTTTCGAAACATAATTATTCATTCGTATCCTTAATTTTTCACTAATCAGTCATTGCTGATAATAGATTGGATCTTTCATAGAGTTTTTAAACGATCGTCTATTAGATGTTTTAATCATTTTTTCGTCGAATCTGACACATAGTGTAGCATTATTGGTCTCATGATTAAATTCACAGTACCGAAATATTGAAATATGCAGAAGCCTTTATTGAAAATATTAGCAACAATATAAATAGCAATTTTCACGTTTGTAATGATGTTAAATAAACTTTTTGGGATCTAAACGCTAAATAGTATTATCAACATTTCGTTTTAATTTTGGATCAATCCATCCAAAGCGGACCAAAAATAGACATAAATAATATAGACCCCTCGACTTTTCCATATTATTACCTGTTGCGTGCCGAACATTACAATTCGCACGGTGGGAATTTCGCGGGGTTGAGGCCCGTTTACGCGGATGTGACAATGTTGCTGGGATGCGGCTTACTCTAAATTAATAGAGTTAGACCTGGTCAGGGTTGAACTAAAGAGTTCTGATGTGTTATTATCTCTCACGAGTTGATCGTCGTGGATTTTAACTGATAGTCTGGTCGCGATGCTTGTCCTGGCTTCGTGGGATTTGTAGGAATCTCGGTGGTTTTATAAGATTGTGTGTCTACCGATTGGTTGGTGTGAAACGTAAGTGGTGGGTGTGTGTTAGCTTCGACGTCTTTCGGTGATAGCGGATGTTTAAACAATTTGGGTCCTTATGCCTATCGCCTTAAGGGTGATTTATTGACCCTTGCTAAAGTTCACCCAAGTGGTGACCAAGCGATAACGAGTGTCAACGAGTCAAGAGACGCTGGCAGTAAGGACATAAAACAGTCCCCCACTTGACTGGGGACGTGCAGTCCTGAAGCCGCAACATTACCTATAGAATCGGTTCTATGCTGATAGACTGTCACGTCAAGTCGTTATACATGTGCCGATAAGTTACAGCACGCAAGATCGCTTTGATCAGCTTTGACTTCCTTACATGCAAAAATAATTTGTTTTAAAGGCTGGGACCTTTCGTATATTACTTTCAAGACTTCAGAATACTAGCTCAGACAAAAAAACATTGATATTTTTCAAAACTTAAAACTGTTCTGATCCTTTAATTTGCTAAACCTAGCGAGTGGGGAGTTTATCCGTTTCCATACAGTTGAGCAAACACGACTCTAAGCAAAACTTCATTTGAATATGAGTTATGCAGAGTATATCGGTGAAGCGTAGTTAACAAACCTTATGCATATATTCAACAGGCAATTCCGAATAAAAGGTGTCATATACACCATAGTATTGTTTCGTTTCTGTTAGTCGATCAAAAATAATGATATGCAGATATGCTAGATATGCAGAAAAGGAAAGCAGTTTCTTTGAAAATTGTAAACATATTTTGGGGAATAGAATATTAAAAAGGAGCATGATCGGAATTTATTTGGAGGGTGAAAAGATTCGTATTCGTAGTGATGCGTGTTTCGATGATGCACACAAAACTAATGTAGGAATGGTGAGCGTGGCGTGATTAGGACATGTGTCTGTGACAGTGCCCTTTTGTCAAGGTACAATTGTAAAGCGCGTGGGAACGCTTGGGTCGTTCCTCGAAAATAGATGCGTCTGACAATGAGTGTTTAGGATACGTGACCCACTGAGGGCACGGCTGTAAAGAGTGCGTGAGAAAAGCGTGATTGAGACAGAGCATGAGTATGAAAGAGGATAGAGTGCATGGTTTAAATAAGGGTGCAAGGGCGTGAAGCGAGAGTCTTTTGGGAGAGTTCTTTGGGCGCAATCCTGTTCATGAAAGTACACAAGAAGTTTTCAAGAGAGTAGTCCGTTGAGAGTTAGTTGCTAGTTGCTATTGAGAATTGCAGCAGTTAGTTGACTGTTAGTCGTTGTTATTAGTTAGATAGTGAGCTGTCGGCCGTAGTCACCTAGTGAGGGCTTGTCGCGGATTCACTAGGTGTGACTTCGTCTTTCATACCTCACCTCACCACCTTTCACCTTCATCCCACTTATCGTCGAAATCTCGTTTCGGGATTCTACATAATACTTGGAATCTCGTTCGGCATTTCTACACTAATGATTTTTATACATGACACCATTTATTAACATTTATATGATTTTCGACATTATCCGACAGGAATAATTTTAAAGTGAAAAGACGTATTCGATAGTATAAAGAATTTATCGATTTTCAATTAAAAAGAAACTATTTTATCATTTTGCGTTGTTCTTTTATATTTTGTTCGAATTTTTCTTTATTCGTGTTATTCCTTTACCTTACTCGTGCTAAACGGGGAAGATTTCGTGCAGCGAAATAATAATAGATATGCAGTAAGATGTAACGATTTGCTACGTGCTTTGCGCAGCATTGTAATAAACATTGTATACCTGTATTCATTTTATTTATAATTCTAATTATTTACCATTATTATGTTATCGTAACGATAAAATCTAATTACATGCAGTAAAATCTGTATGAATTTAGCGTATATGGAACTAATTCGAATTTGAAACTAATCGGGAATTTTGTAGAAGGGTTTGAAGAATTCACGTTTGATAGAAACATGTTCGGAAACAATAATATGCTTGCAGTGTTGATATTAAGGCGGCAGAAAATAGTTTGTATTAAATACGTTCGTGATAAGCTTGAACAAGTAAGAAACGAATATCGCTGACCAGATGTAAGTAGAAAATACGTATATTTGATTTACGTATATGTTTCGGATTATCAAGGTAGGAGTTGCTTCTAACGAATATTCTTAATAGATGCTACAAATTAACGATCGGTTGGTTTAAATTTAAATTGTCTTTTCGGAACCGAAAATTACTTAATTCAGATTCTGACTGTTTCTAAACGTGTAAATATAAAGTTTTACGTTATTAAAATAAATTGGTATTATTAAATAAAATTTTTATAATTCCAGTCAGTACCTATTTTGACAGTACTCGTTTCTTTTCGTCCGTTCCCTTTTTATCTTTAACATAAGATATAAAAACATGAAAATGTGGATAGAATAATCCGAAATATTTTATCATATGGATAGAATAAACAGAAAGTTGAAAAGAGTAGAAAGATATATTGCGGTGCAATGAGCGTTGATCATAAAGCTCGAAAAATCAACAGTCGTTACTTTCGTTTGGACATATTTTTGGATCAATTTCATAAAAGCACTGCGATCAGAGAACATTTAGTTTTAAATTATCGTCGATTCCTCAACATTTGTAAGAATAAGAAAATACATGAAAAAATTGTAACAATTCTATAAACAAGACTACGTTTCGACAAGCTTTAAGTAAGGTCACGTTATAACAAACAAACTTTTTTTGCGTTTCAACGAACACTAATTTCTAACTATTTCAACAAAACTATAGTATGAAGAATGGTCAAATGGTAGCGATGTAAACTTTCATCCCATGCTTCTTCGAGTCACGTATTTCTTCTTTAACATTACTATTATCGATCTGAAATTTGTACTTAAATATAGTATCCATAAGTAATAACAATTAAAGAAAAAACAAGTAAATACGTATAATTATTTATTTATTTTTATTTATTACTATTTATTATTAAATTAACCGCTTTACTCCCTCGATCCTGTTATGTTCGATACTTGTGATATCTGTGATACTATTTGTATAAGGCTGCGCACGAATCATCTCGCGTCTCGAAACACGATATCGTTCGTGCAATCTCACGGACCAGCACGTATCTCGCGTGCTTCCCTATTAGATTTAAGAGCTTTAATTCGAAAATGTTTGGTTCTACAAACGATATAGGAAAAGAAAAACATATTGTTTTCTCAGAATATAATTCAAAACACGATGTTTCACATAACGTTACATCGAAATTTTTACAATACCTTATTTATTTGCGGATAGCTTTTGTTTTCCACCATACATAATATTTCGTGGAATGACATTTTTCATTCGTTGGTATCAGGAATTTTTTTAAAGAAATGATTTAATGATTTCTTTTCCTTTGTAATGCAAATTATCCATTGAGATACAGTAGCGTTTTAGTAACTGTCCCATTAATACTTCCTTTGTCTTTCTTTATCTCACAGAAACTTTTTCTGCTTGCATGAAAACAATTCTAGTAAATACAATGTCTAGTAAATAAATAAAAAGGTTTTTTATACCATTTTAAAGGTTTCTTAAATGATTCATACCCATGTAAAATTTGATCTATATAGTTCACCCCATCCATATACACATTGCAATTCAAAATTACATTTGGTTTTTTAACGCATGTAAGATGCTGAGAGCCAGCACCAATCTTTTATTCGTCTATCCATAAGATGCTATAAATTTGTCTATCATTTCGTCATTGTTCAATGTCAATCACGGGCTGTATTTTTTCAGTTCTTTCATTTGCATTATTATTCTGATCGACACTAGTAGAATGCAGGAATCGCAGAATATCGAGAAACATTCTTTTTCACATAATTTCTCTTACAAGTACGATATTATACCTTCGATTTTTATCCCAATATCTCAGTATAGAAAATTTCGATTAGCCAACTATACTCATATATACAATAATAACAAAGAACAATAGATATCTTCTGTTAATACGATATAGAACATTAACGACACCTTGGTAAATTATATGTAAACATTTACTCCGGGTTTACCGTATTTTTGGTATGTTAATTCACCAGTTTTTCGGTATGTTGTCACTACACAGAAAGTCGCGAAAGTGTACGTACATCGCGAGTGTGGTATAGATATATAAATATATCTAAATAGAACGTATTAAAGTGTATTCTTTTCTTTAAACACTGCTCAAAGCTAAAAAAAATTAACACCTTCACTGGAAATATTACAATACATCCTTGTCTCTTATAGAAATTAGTTCTATAAGTTCTTTGCAAAAGAAGAATAGAAAATTGAAAAGTGGAACTATTTTCCGATATATCCGATTCGTGTACTACACTTCAATATACATATATCGATATATGTAAGTAAAAACTTGTGGTTGAAATTTCAATGTGGTAGTAAGAATATTCTACTTTCTTTTATTTATTAAATCCTTGTACTTTTCGGATAATGCAACGTCTTCGTTATTTATATTATTTCGATTACTGTCCGTATCGCTATCGCTATCGCTTATAATACGATTTCTTATTCGTGACATCATGATCTATACCCGTGAATAGCTAAACAGGAACTGATTGACCCAATAGAAGCAAGTTAACTGACCGCAAACGGAACAAAAACAGAAGTGCGTGTTTATTTTGTCTGTGGTATCGGACGAACGGTATCGCGTCGCGGTATATATTACACATGACAGTACATATGTGACACTTTTTTTTCGAAATAGTAGATAAGAGATAATAGATACTAGATAATCCTGCATCGTTTCATTCAATCAGCCACTAAACAGTGTCTTCGAATCACGGAAAAGGATCGAAGGCACGATACGGTATTGTTAAATATAATAACATCTACTACGAAATATCAACTTGCCAAATAGTTCTTATTTATTGCTAGTCACGTAGATAGATGACAAATTAGAAGAAACAAGATTGAATCGTCAGATGCCTCGTTTCTTGTTTAACACTAAAACCGAGATCGTTAGAGCTCAATTTTGAATCCTCAAGGACATTTTCGACATGTGTCGATATTTAATGGTTGCGTAGGTCGTTTCTATATCCATTTATGCATTAATGTGCCAAGCATCACAGCAGAGCTGTGATTATCGCGACGTACATTACGCAAAAAGGTAATAAACGGAATAAACGGAATTTATACAACTCAAGAAAATATTAGCGAAATTGCAAATTTTTTTCTTCTAAATAGACTGTCGGATGCTGCAAATTTTTACTGTAAAATACCGCAATTGGTGCAATTGACGCAATTGACACAGCAAGGAAAATTGACTGTTGCAACACGACCATATTCTTACACACGCGAATCTTGCAACGAGAGAATTTTTAACGGTAAACGAGATGATAATCATCCAGTCACTATCGTTACAAGATTTAGCCTTCTGCGACTTCTTCCTACTTTCAGAAATTGAATCGCACTCGAAAGAGCGGCGTTTCGACGTTATAAAGAACGCAGAAATCGAATCGCGGAACAGACGCATTGTTGTAGTTGCGAAAATTGTTCGAGACTTGTCAGTGCCTTTGAGATTTGTATCGCAATACAGGAGAGGACAACTTGGAAAATGACAAAAATCAAAGCCAAATTTCGTTCGATCGAGTCGTGCAATTTTTATAAACGATTTGTTTTTCGTTACATCGCGTGTAATACGATGTATTATATAACGGATGCTGAAAAACCTGGTCGCTGAAAAATTCTTCCAAAACTTGAATTATTTTTCATCGTAGAACTGAAATATTGAAATCATCATATTGGTGACTTACCTCTTTAGTAGAAAATATTTGCTGAAATTTCTCAAGCGTTACAGCATTATCACCGCATATGTTATATGCAACGTTCTCGAGTTGAATAACGAGATCGTTCGGTTTTTCATTCCTATTAAAATATCGCGCAAGATCATGCAATAAAAAATAATAAATATAGTTATTTTATTCGTTTATCGCGATGTTTTGTAAACGATTGTATAGTAGTACTTACTTAAGTCGTCCCTTCAAGAAATCAATCCATTCGTCTTGCGTCAATATCTTGTCCTGATTTCGGTCGAACAGGGAAAATATTTTTTCCATTAACATCTGAAATTCATATTATTTTAAAGATTTCAAATATTCGTAAAATTTCGTCGGTTTGTCAAACAAGAGGTACATCTCTCGTACAATTTTAATCGTTGAACTTATTAGAAATGATTTATTAGTATTAGGCGTTTTTTGATATACAAGGTGTTCCGTTTAAATCGATCCAGCTGAATATCTTCGAAACTATTGTTAATGCAGAATAATATTTTAGACAGAAGTTTCATAGTTCGAGAAGGCATATAATCTGATATTAGTAAGATTCTCCTATATCGATTTGTAAAGAAAATACAAAGGACAATTTCATTTTTCAAATGGAATCACATATTTTGTCATATACCGATAGATGCAGCTCGCTATTTTCTATATAAAACCATTAATCGTAAAAAATCATTGGTCTAGAAGATTTCAGTATTGACTAATAATAGTACTATTTTTTTTATATAATACGACTTACTTCCTTAAAGTTGATATTCACATTATGTACTACTCCTTTAAAATATCAAACTTTTGTTTTTCGTATCATTGATATTTTAATAAATTTCGTGTCATTAATAATTTCGGAAATATTTAGCTGGGTCAATTTAAATGGGACAATCTGTAGTTTATGAATCAGTTGAAAATGATTTTGTAATTTCGAACATTTCTTTATCGCGTGAGTTTATATTACAACAAATAGCAATAACTAAGTGAAAGCACTTGAAATTATACGGGAATAACTAAAAATTTCTAGGTCTCGTTCTCGATCACATCAAGATGCGTGGTAAATTAGAAGTTGCCAATGAATAAATTTCATGTACATAAAAGTTTACTAATTAAAGGATCAAATATCAAGTAAAATATACTATTATAGATAACGCTATTATTCTTCTTCGAAAAATGCGCATGTAAAAAAGGAAAGACTGTGCATATCGATAAACGTAATATATGAAAATTCTACTAGGAACACATAATACATATTACGGAAGAAATTCGTGTTGGACAATTTTTCTCTATACAGTGCATATAGCCGCTATTCTCATTAGTCAGTCTGGCAGCCCGCGCACCAGCGCGTCACCGGACCGCCAATATACAATGTCGCGCGACAACTCCTTTTGGCGGCACGGGCAGGGCGTGCCGCCGGTCCGTCAAACACACATTTTATCGGCGGAGACGATACGCCACGTTTTCGGCATAGAATAAACGCCAGTCGAACTCGAACTCTCGTCAGCGGCACCACGAATAAAGATTTTCTTTACTACGATTCGCACCCACAGATATAATATCGTATGACTTTTTCTGGGAGATATTTTAAAAGAATATTGGGATTTTTATCAAGATCTGAAGATTCTTCATCACTTAATATAATATTTTTATAACCATTGAGAAATTTGTGAAATAATTGATTTTATCATCTGATTGTTTAGGGCTGCCTGACATGTTTTCATTTAAAAAAACAGATATTGTTTTATTTTTGAGAAGATCTAACATCATTTTTTCTTTAAGTTTATCAGCTTCGTTTATAATTATTCTGTTACAGTCTTCGCGACCTTTATTATCATTTTCTTTGCGAATTCTTTCAAAACATGCTACTATCGTGTTAAGTTTTTGCGTTGAGTTTACAATGACAAAATTATTTTCGTTATCCTTATATACCATATTCGGATCTATATCAGCATCTTCGAGACAAATTGCTTTTATTTTGTACAATTTTTATTATCACTGTGGGGACAGTTTCTTTTTGTAAACGATCTTTAGAATAGACGTCGTAAACAGTCAGACGACAGACAGTGTGTCTCCGACTGTCTACACCTAAAGCCTATTGACGGCGCGACGATCGGTCGAGGGGTGTCGAACCTTTCGAAGCGAAAGAGCAGGCAGTCTGATAAAGTCGTTTAGAAAATAAAGTTTTCGGAATCACATACCGTACACCTCCATCCTTCCGCTACATTTTGATCGAAATATTTGGTTCACTAGTGGAAACATACTTGCAGTGCCTCTAGTAGATTCATTTTTTATTTTATCGTTTCAATATTTATTGATAGAGTAAATATATTCTTGTCTTAACTGTATTTTATATGTCATCGATTAATTGAATATGAGAACTTGGAAAAGAAAAAACAAAAGTGTTGTCAACAACACACGGAATTCCCAAGCGGTCACCCATCTAAGTACATCCGCGCCCAACGAAGCTTAACTTTGGTGATCGAACGAGAACCAGTGCTTTCTGTGTGTATGGTCATTGCCAAGGACTAATATATTACCGGTACTTAAATGGGAAGTGGAATACCATAAAAGCTGTATCACATAGTTTCTTGTCCCGCGACAGCAATTAACCGATAACTTGCGAAACGTATATAAAGAAAAGGTATAAATGTGGAACATTCATAAGCATAATGATCATTGTAAAAGTACGATTATTAGTTAACGCAAAATACAGATCTAGTTACTGAATTAGAAAGAGAGTCAGGTAAAAATTAAAGCGTTGGTAAAATAAAACTTGTATCGCAACAAAGGTTAAAGGCTTCATTCTAGCAACACACGTGGGAGCACGTCCGACGGAATGCGTTTCTTCTCGACAACTGACCCAGGATTTTTGGGTTTTCTTCCGCAGTGGGAAATCTCTCTCAATACATTTAGACCCTTTCGGCAATGTCATAAATTTCTTACGTCTATTTCGCAAGAGGACCGTCCCACAGACCGTTCAAGCGGTCGTCGACAGACATATGGCGGTAGCTTTGTGCTCGCGGTGGCTCTCAATCGTTATGAGACGAACGTGAGTGAGGAGTATAGTGCGAGGAAAGTCTCAGCGCGTGTGAAATCATCCAGTTCAGTTCGTAAAAGATCATTGAATAAATCTTCTTACAATTCCAACACTAGTTTCATTATAGTTCTGTTCCGATAACAAATTCGACCGGAGCATTATCGAACCGATGTGTACCAAATGCGGCAAAAAGTTATTTTAGAAAAGTTTGTTTTTTAATTAAAAAAGTAATGTAAGGAAAAGGTCATAAAAGAATACACATAAATGTAAATATAATACTGTTGGGAGTCCTCCCCCACGCTTATATGAAGTCGGGTTGGTCACAGGTATCCTCTGTGGCGGTGATGCTAAAAGAGACGGTAGGAAAAAGAAGGGATGTGTTTCGTCTCAAGCCTGCTAGTGGACTCATCAGTAAGACTATCCTAGCAGGCCAATTTTTTTGCCAATTCAACATACGTTTTATTGCGTCAGAAGCTAGATACGATAATATACTTATAAAAAAGAACAAAAACGTACAAAAAGGTTACAAATGAAAACTTAGACTATGGGATCGATGACTTCAGCGTGAAGCATTCGCGATCTAATCTTAATCTACCGCGCTTATCGCTATAGGATAATATAAACCCAAGATATTATATGCATGTTTGCCTATATATAGAAAGGCACGAAAACTATGCACCTTATGCTTTTAAGTTGGTAAGGTGCAGGGGGTGGACTAGATAAATAAATAATTTTAATTTTTATAAGCTGACTGATACTCTTTGTGCTAAACTTAAAAACAGAAAATCGTGAATTTGCATGAAAAACGAACGAATAGAGTAATTTTATTTCGAGAGTCACTTCTCGAGTGCAAAGGGTTAATAGATTGCGTAATAGGGTTAAATTCCCAAACGAGATGTATTGTAACGATAATATCAGTGTGGTTCCTCGGAGATACCTGACTTTTCTGCATCTTATTTTAGCTCGGTTTATTCCTCACATTCAGCGGACTCTCTCGATTTTTATTTTGATGAAACCGCACATCTATCGTGCTTGGAAATATCAATAAGTGATGTTTTACAGAAAATTAGGGATCTTACGCTTACCAGGGATCCAGTATCGATGGGGTTCGTTCTTTAACACTAGATTTACGGAACCCGTCAATTTGACGGAAGAGTTGCTCCAATTATACGATGGTAACAGATTTAGTTAACTTATATTAAGACTGTTAATATAATATATAATTGTTTTTAAATTAAACTAATCGTTTAAAAAAAGGCACGTGATTTCCTTTATCTGTCAATTTGACAGGTGTCCTTAGAAATAGGTATACAGATAGCGCCCGTAAACCTAGTGTTAATATCTAAGAATCGTAGTTTTATACTTTCTCATCTGCTATAGATTATTTATAATGAATTGTTGAAACTAGGCAAGTTTCCGGTAGTATGGAAATCGAGTGCTATTTCACCGATTATTAAGTCGGGAGATCACGAATATAATAAATATTTATTGAGCAATATTATATTTAGCATAGGGTAAAAATTGTCAAAGAAATGTAGAATATTTTTAGGGGTTAAAAGTGAAAACGGAACGAATGAATGGGTGTAAGTTGCGTGGTTTCTACGGGGAGGTGAAACGCAGGTCAACGGAATCGTTGTCGTTGCGGGGAGCGAATTGCGGATCGGCAAGGTGGTATGATTTTCACGGGGGCAAATCGCGAATTCAAAAAGTGATGTAATTTTTATGAGAGCAAACGCTAATCGGTCGAATCATATCAGCCAATTAGCGATTGATAAAAGCACGTCATCAAGCTTTGCAAAGGTCATAAAAACAGGACCCTTGACGATTCAGGGGGAGTCCTGAGGGGAAAAGCCTTGAAGAATCAGCGTAAAAATAGATTGTGACCGGCACGGACGTGAGTCGTTCGGTATCGGAGAGAGACAAATAAGAGCGTGTTTTCTGTGTTATAGTTACGTTATTTTAGTATTATTTTCATGCGTTTAATCAGTTTCCGAGTTTAATGTTAATTTCATTCTATTCATATTGTTCTGTCTGTTTTCGGTATCTCAAACAATTCGCGCAGACCCGATATTCTTTCGATAAAAAAAAAATATATTAAATATTTATTTAACAATATTATAAGCCAGGGTAAAAATCGTTGATGAAAATTATCCAATTATGTTCACTCTTTCCCACGATACTCGTTCACACGTTTACTCTCAATGAATTCTGAATTGCAACTGCCCTATCCAACTATTCTCTTCTTTAATACATTACATAAATATATACATTC